AAATAAAAAACTTAAAATACATTTTTAGTTCTTTCTAATATATCAAATTTATTTTGGGAATATTACCCAAAATTTAAATTTTATAAAAGATTTTGAGATATTTTTTGTTTTTAAATTGTTCGGATCTGGATCAAATTAGGATATTTGCGGATATCCAAAGTCCGGATATGCATAAGCCCTGAAATTTCGGGATAGGCGGATCAATTCCAGCCTTATCGACGGTGAATTCTGATAGAATTATTGATTGTCATTCTTCGAGATGTTGAAACTAAGTTTAAGAATTTGGTGTGTTTTGATCTTTTGAAATAGGGAAAATACCATAAAATTATTCCAACTATATTTCGATAATTTTTTAGCACCCAAAATTTTTTGCTACGCCAATTTAATACTCTAACTAATTAATTTGATCATTTTAATATATAAACTTTCAAAACTATACCCATCTAACACCAATTTAAAAACAAATTTGAAAATATTACAACAAATTTTAGTTTTCTTTAAATAAGGACTATTTTTTGGGTGATTTGGTTTAATAGTCTATTTTATAAAAATTTAAATCTAACCCATGTTTTTTTTCCTAAAATAACATTTTGTTAGGTAAAAAAAAACAATAGTATCTTCGTGATTTGAAAATTTACAATTAGAAAGACTTACATTTATTTCCATTTTTTAAAAAAGTTGACAAATATATTTTTTGAATTATGATATTTGTTAATCAACAAATAGGAAATATATATATATAGGTCTTTCATGTTTCCTGATAACATGTTATCTAGTGGATTAGAATTCGTACAACAGCAATGAGTCCCGAGATCACATATTGTTTTGTCCATACAACTTCAAAATATAGGAGTTTTTCACCAAACAAGTTGGTGTATCGCTACCTACCTCCTTTAATGCCACTTTTATGGAGTAAAACAATATGTACAGGGGGTAACTCCTAGATACCAAACGATGGAAGCCTCTTTGGATGTCAGTACCAAACCTCATATATGATGATATCAAACTAGATTCCGAGTACCCACCCACACATTTTCACGCTTTGTCCACCATTCTTTGTTTTTCCAGAAAGCTCTAGTACTAGAAAGATTAAGCCTCCAATTTTTTTCTCCATGATTTACTTATGTAGAGATTGTGACATAGATTAAACTAGGAGTTACCCTACGTAGGCTGAACATCGTTCTTCTTGGCTATCACATGCCTATCAGATTGTCATATAGTTTGTATACTGGCAATCTGATAGGCATGTGCTGCTCAGAAAAATATAATGTGCAACCTATGTTAACAGGGGTAACTCCCAGTTTAATCCATGTCCCAATATCTACAGAACTAAGTCTTGGACTCAATTTCAAGTTCAATCTTTCTAGCACTGGAGCTTTATGGAGAAACAAAATGCGGTGGACAAAGCGCGAAAATGTGTGAATCTCGATATCTAGATTGCTATCATCATATTTGAGCTTTGTCACTGATATCCAAAGACGCTTCTATCATTTGAACAAGACGCGTTTAACAGTCAGTGAGACGATCTTGTATGGAGACTAACTTTACTCTATAAGAATGTCATTAAATGAGGTAGGTGGCTTTGACCGGAAAAAAGGAGGTAGGTGGCGATACACCAACTTATTTGGTGAAATATTTACATATTTTGGAGTTGTATGGACTCTAAAAGAGAGTGATCTCGAGACAAAAAGTGTCAAAATGACATCAAAATCAGAAATGTGTCAAGTTCACGTGCCTTCTTCCATAAAGTGTTATTTACACCAATTTACTCTATATACTATATATGAACTTATAAATAAATAACACAAACTCTTAGATCCCTATAGATAATTTCCAAAACTCGATACTATTAGCAAAAGCCTAACATAGTTTTTTCTCAAGTAAGGCTCATTCGGAATCACTCTGAAAACAAAATCTCTTCAAATATATTTTTTTCTTTTGAAATGAATGTTAGATTGTATTCACACCAAAAAAAAACATTGATTACATAAAGAGATGTAAATAATGTTTCTTTGTGGTGTGAACACTATTTAACATTCATTTCAAAAAAATAATAATATATA